TTGTGCGAAGCACACACATGTATATTTTATTGAAAATAGTTATTTTGTACAGTACAGTTGGCTTGATTCATGTACATGTGGATGGCAAATGAATACATTTGATTCCTGTGCCCACATCTAAATTCAGCTGTGATGATCAGCCCCGAATGGGTTCCTGGTACTCTGCCCTTTCCTGTTTGCCCTGCAAGGGCGTAGACAGTGGGGGTACCAAGGATGCAGGAAAACAAAGCCCAGGTGCTTTAAATACGCACACGTGCCAGTCCATGTATGACTCACGTTGGGTTGGTTTATTGGATATGCTGACTTCATCTGCCCAGTCCCAAAGAGCATTGGAAATGTGTTAAGAAATAACGGTACGGTGCTGTGTGTGGTTTCTGGCTATTTCAAAGGAAAGGGAAGTGGAACGAAAATGTTTCTTTGATTCAAAATTTTCATTTGACCCTTGCTCTCGGTTGCTTTGAGGGTTTCACAAATACTGTACTTTTCTTGAGTTTCCTGCAAAAGGAAATCAAGTCTAAATGCATCACAGATTAGACACAATTTTTCGGCAGTCATTCGTTGTCCCACCTTATCAGTACATGTACCGGTACATATACATGTAGTACCGTACCATACGAACTTGTACAATATGTACATAAACCTGTAAGTATTGGGAACAAAATAGGATGAAGTCAGCTTTGCTGAAACCCTCATTTGACTGGAGGTACATGTACAAAATGTAATTTTTTCTAAGGATCTGATGTACATGTAGGATAAAAATGCTGCAACCCAACAGTCAATCACTGAATTACATACAAGTACCTGTACATACACTGTACATGTACGTATGGGCTGTAATGTTTGCATCATGCATGTATATACAAAATCCCGTAGTCAAATTGTTATTATTCAAGGGACAGGGGCCTTATACATGTAGTACAGTCATACAAGGTGTATTGTCCTTGAGGTGGGCATTGCTTTGTCAATTAGCTGTCATTGCTGATTACTTTTCTGTACCTCTGTCAGTTGTATTCCTCCCTGTGTGGAGATAGGGAAATAGGTGACTCTTGATGCATTCTTGGAAAAAATCCACCAAACAGTGCCTGTAAAGTTGTGCATTCGTGATGGTACATTCGTGATGGTACATGTAGATGCACTTGTACATGTACAGGTACATGTATAGTACATGGTTTTAGAGATAAATTATGTACATGTACCTGTCTTGAGGGCCATACAGTATTATTGCTGTACTTGTACATGTACATTAAAGTGCATTAAATGAAAGCAGAATGGAATCAGGTTTCTTAGAATTTAGTTTTGTTTGATTGCTGTAATGTACATGTACATCAAATATGTACATGTATGCAAGTTCTTATTTTAGTTTCTGTTTTTTTTTCAGGAAATGCATGTATTTGTACATACGTTTATCTTTTCCTTTTTTGTGATGAACAGCCCTTAATAAAATTTCAGGTATGCAGCGAAATTAAAAGAGTAATATTGTGGTTGATTATATCATTTATGTTTTTGACTCATTACCCATTGTCAGTCATTTCCGTTCTGCCATGCCGCAGAAGGCCCATTACGATCACGACAAATTTTCCGCATGGGCGATCCCATTGTTTGCACAGTGCACACATGTACGCCGTAACTGCAGTTCTGTAGAATTCCCCTCCTCCTCAGTGCGTACCGAAACCATTTAAAAAGAAAAAGACATTCCCTTTCCCTTTGATGATTCCCGGGTGAACCTGTGTTCGGCTGAGCGTGCCAAATAATGGATGACTCATACATCCCAACATATACTTTTTGTAGAAAAAGTGGCAAGGTTGCTGAGGATACGGCACGGGTCTGTGGATTGAATTTATCACAGTATGGCATGTATACAGTCAGAGCTCTTTACAAATGCAACAAAATTCATCAAAGTACCCGAATTGATGAAAAAGAAATGCACTGGACAGCAAAAGAAACTTGCCACTTCTGTCAAAGGCCACACATAAAAATTCACTCCATAGAAATAAACAATTTTTGTACACAGGTATGCTGCAACATCCCTTACTAATCACATGCCCAAAAGCAAGTGATTATCTTTATAACTAAGAATAATTTGACATGCACAGCAACTTGGTTACTAAATCAAAAGTCACACACAAAAGCACTCTCCACCAAGCAAAAATGTGACAGTGACAGTGACAAATTGAACGCCTGTTTTGTCAAAATGATGTGCGTGAGTGGTTTCTGTATAGGGATGCCGTCCTTACTGACTATGCATACACATTATTGAAAGTAATGATTGTGACTTCTTATTTCATTCATTGTACATCTACATTTCCTTATTCAAATCAGGAGCCATCAGCACTTTCATTTGAAATAGAAAGATTAAGATGATTCAGGAGTAACTCTTTCTTTTTTTCTAACAATTTTTGGAGACAAAATATTGATAATCTGCGCATGGGATCTTCAAATGATGGAATGCTTTTCCCGGTGTGAAGATTTATTCTGCTGTGATGTCTCCTTGCAGTATTCGTAATTGATGACTGATCCCTTTCTGAAGACATGTTTTCATTGAACATTCCTTTGGAAAATACTCATGTACATACACATGGTGACAGCTAAAACATGTATGCCTAATGACCACAATAAAGCAGCAAGCATTTCTAGATGTACAAAGCTCAGAACAAAACATAAATTGTCTTAATACGTGTACAGTGGAAAAGATTCATTTGTTAAACACAACATGGGAAAATGTCATTAGTTGGTCAGTAAGCTTTTTAAGATTATTTTTGGTTTGAATCTTCTGATCAGTTGGAGGGAAAAATTGATGGCATAAGAAGTACATGTACATGTATCATTACAGCGATTTTCCCTTTTTGTGTATGTGATTTTTTAAAACTCATTTTTTTGGGGAGGGGGACAACCCACAAGCCTACATGTAGATAAAACGGTCTTTATACTTGGACATATTGGATGGCTACAATTGTACAAGTGGCTGCTGAACAGGCCCCCTGAAGCACTAGCACATGTTCAGTGGAATTGGCAGGTGCTGATCAACTCTCAACTTCAGGGCAGTCCCCAAGGCAGTGCTTCTCCACACAGACAGAGAGAGGCGGGAGCTGGAAACTCAAAACACCAGTCTCGAATTGGGATTCCTGGGGGTAGGGAAGATGGAGAGGGGAGGGCTTTCTGTCATTGAGAGGATGGTTAACGTGGGGAGGGTTCTGGCCTGTGGGTGGGGAGGGTGCATACATTATTAAGTTTGCTTTGAATTGCTGTCCTTGGCCTGCCGGCATTTGCAGACATGCTCTCCCATGCAAGTCTTATTTTCATTCATAAATTTTCAGCTGCAAGGTGTTGAATATTTTGTCGGCTTGTCATCCGTGGGCCCTTCTTTCAAAGCCCGGTGCTTTTCATTTCCTGACTTTGTGTCCATACCCACAGCCAATTGTTGCCCTCTATAATGTTCTTGTGGTTTCACATTCCTGTGTTGACATGTTAACTCACTGTGAACTAGTAACCTTGTGGTAAGAAACCCAGAAATGAAGCAAATTGGAGATGGAGTTGAAGGCTGTTTTGTAAAAGTACAGGCATTCCCCTCTGATCACCTTATGTACATGTATGAGCCTACATGTACATGTACACTGTGGCTCTATGGTATGAGGCAAAGTTCAGGATGTACTTCATTTGGAGTTGTACATGTACAGGTATATATGTACATGTACACTACTACATGTACATGTACTTGTACATGCATGTACCACAGTGTACTCGTACTTGCATCAGCGTCATTGCCAACAGAAAAAAGGAAACCATTGTTCATTTGCTTTCAGGGAAATGGTCCCTTTTGTTCTCAATTTCTTCGTGGGGGAAAACAAAACAAGGCTTACTGGCACTGGTAGTGTTCTGTCAAGGCTCAGCAATTATTCACGCAAGGCCATTTGGACAGTTTGGGCCCATGGGCTGAATTTATTTGTGGTGTACATGTACATGTAGATGTAGCTGTGTATTTTGATTACAAAAAATTAGACGACATTGTAGCTCACCTTGTTTATCTGTCTAAGCATCACTACTTGAAACTGTGCCTAGCTGTGTGTCTGTGAAGTGACCTTGTTGACTTGCATATTTTCTCTGTATTTTTATACCAAGAAGTTCCCTGAAATTGAATCCTGTATAACACTTGATCACATACATGTTTACATGTACTGTATGTACCTCTAGCGAATTTCGCTGAAATCCTATCAACCGTACCACTGGTAATACACAGGTACCGGTACATGCAGGTACGTGTACCCGGTAGGGAGTAGTGTTTATAATTTTCTCAAGAACTACTGTACATGTACCGTACTTGAAATGAGTCAGTTTTCAACAGCATCATTTCTTAGTATTTTTATACCTACCACACAGGTAGAAGGTCCATGAAATTTAATCCTGTTGTGCAGTGATGGATCAAATTTCACTGAAACCCTGTCAATGTTACAATGTACATGTACATGTTCAGTGCACTAAGTACCGTTAAGTAGCAGGTACGTGTAGTGTTCTGCAATTTCACAGGAACTACCACCTCCAATCAGCAAAAGAAAGACAAGTGGTTACAAGCAGGATCTTGCACGTGTTCTGCATGTACACTAAAAACATACATTCCGGAACAAATTCATTGCGCGTACATGTACTCATCGTGCTCCGCGTCAAACACACATACCGGTATAGAGGTTCTGCATGGCAGCCCTCTTTCCGTTAACTGCTTTTGTCGCGGAGGGATAGTACAAAAGGTGTACTCATCTGTATCCCTGTGGAACAAAAGCTCTTACTGGATAAATGGATGCCATGCAGAACCTCTATACCTGTACATGTACTTCGCACCTACATGTATGTGGTGAGTTAGTACCAAAAGGACAGTCAATTTCATTTACAAATATGCCTTCTTTTGTTCCACTCGGAACAGATACCCTGAGCGGTTACATTGTACCGTACATGTACGTTTTAGTTCAAATCTTTTAAAAATTGTTCCTTCTTTTTTTTCTTTGTTGCAGTAACAACACACAGAGGAATGGACTGACCTGCATCTACAACATGACTGAGTCCTCCTTTGCCAACTTTGACATGAACCTGAGCAAGAAGCTACTGAGCATGCTCCGTGAGGGCTACCCAGCCCGGCTGAAGCGGGTGTACGTCGTGACACCACCGCTGTGGTTCAAGGCCATGTACAAGCTCCTGGCGCCCTTACTGAAAGAGAAAATCAAAGAAAGGGTAAGCGTGGAAGGTGGTTGTGCCCATCTGTATCCAACACACCCCAACAACTTCAGTCAGAATCTTACTGAATGAAAAACTTGGGTGTGACTGCCAGTGTCTTATATGATACCGTTACGTGCACTGTAGTTTGTGGTGTGATATTAGCTTGACAATGTGATGTGTAGACACAGTGCGATGTGTAGACACAGTGCATGGGTCCTGATAATCATAACAGTCCCAAATCCTCCAATTGTAATGTGATTTTACATACGCCCTAGGGGTTCAGGTTGATAAATTAAAGAGGCCACTTCTGGGTTCCCATGGTCATGGAAATCCCAGAAATATCCTGGGAAAAAAGTTGTCCTGCAAAGTCATTCCAGTTGTCCCAGAATCCTGTTGTCATAGGGGAGTGGAAAGTCATGAAAAAGACATTGAAATCAAGTTCATGCAAGGGCTATTTTTTTATGTGATGACAGAACAATGATAAATATTCTGGCTGTCTTTGTTTATCTACAGTAGTGGCTGTGGCAGTCTTCTACATGTAGTTTATGATACTAAAGAAATTTTCTCTGCCAAGTGTCCTGGAAAGTGTCTTATTTTAGTCCTGGACAGTCCTAGAATTTGGACTTAAGATTTTTGTGGAGACCTTGCTTTTTGAAATCTGTCAGTGATGTCCATTGAGGTTGTTACTTGGTATGCAGGAACTTGGTAGCGTTCATGTGACTGTGATATGTGATTTGAAATTATTAGTACATGTACTTCATGTGAAAGTGCCCAATCCTAAAGGATTTTTGTGGGTGTTGGGAGCACAGCAGGTGGAGGCCTGAGGTCTTGGTCCAGCCGCTCTTTTTTGTCACCTGTGAAGGGATACTTTGGCATGGATTCCATTGACCCTTTTGTGTCCTGAAAGAGACTACACAGATTATGTTTTGGTGACTTGCATGCACTCTGGTGAGAGTCTGCTTTGCAGGCATCATAGCCTTCAAATTGCACCTTCTAATATACTCACATGTACCGGCACTTGTGGTACTCACTGCTCATTCAGTTTGAACCAGCGTGTGAACCTAGGGGCAAGCAAGGTGGTTGACTGGTATAAAGATGTCTGCTTTAGTAAGCACGAGGTTGTGGGTTTAAGTCCCGCCAGACTTACCGGTACCAAGCTTGTCAAGTTTCTACAAGCCCCCTTTCTTCACTGATGATGTAGTCTTTAAAGAAATGCACCAGTGAAGGACAAATCATTCGATGTAAAATTTTAATCTCCCACAAGGTGGGGGATTTCGGTACATCTTAGATAATGAAAGCTTTGCTTTGTGACTTAGTCGGGAACCTTAATATTCTTTTCAGTGAAATTAGTGCATTGAATGCGCACAGTGATCTGTTGGCAGCTGTTCGACCAATCACAAACAGTCACATGTTTTTCTCACCATGACCATTTGTAACGACCTTTCCAATTTGATCTTGTTGTGGCTGGCTTCCAATCACCTGTCAAAATGTTTGTCATTCAGTCTGAAGATGGCAGATGCATTCGGTATTTTCAATCAGGAAAGTACATGTACATGTAAGTATGGTTAGGTACTTGGCTGTGCTGAGCCACAAACACTTTCATTTGCTTAGCCGCAAAACAAAAAAAAATCAGTGACGTGAGTACAGTGTAACGTAAATCCATTTTACAATAGATTCCCCACACAGTGCTCCCTAATACAATGCTTTTCTGGATATAAAGCTCTTTTTTTCGCATACCTGGCTGCTCTTCCATTTAAATTTGAAGCCATCTTGTTTACAGCACTTTCTCGGATACAGTGCTTAAAATATTGAGTCCTAGATATGTGCAATAAAATTATGTAAAAAATGCTGCAAGAAGATTTGACATCGGATTTATGTAAAGTGCAGCGATACACAAACATGAATGGAGGGCCCATATGGACTGGTCACTGCTGCACTTGCTGTGGAAGTTTTCCAGTTTTGAAAAAAAATAAACAAGCGGAGTTGGCTTGCTAAAATTAAAAGCCCCAGTTGTTTTGACACCTGAGTACAGTACATAGCGTACCGGCACATCCGCAGTAGATAAATGTACATGTACTGTAATTGTGCAATATGTGGACATGTACATGTGGATGCATTGATATGTGAAGCTGTAAACCATCAGATTACATGTCATCATTGCAGATTTGGGTGCACAGTGCAAACGTTTTCACAATGTACAGTGTAGTTGCATTGGTCACAGTGCTGCACGGAATCGAGTTTGGTCCCTCTAAGAGCATTGTGACTGGAATCTACTTTATCAAAAAAGTGTTGATTGGGCCTTTTTTTTAAATCTGTGCATGGTCCATTTGTAGGGCATTGCTTGTTACTGGTACCATGCTACCCCATTGTTTGTCCGTGGAAGTGCAGAGTTCAAACCGAGGTGAAAGTACATGTACCCTACCAGTACATGTACTCCAAGGGGCCCACTGGCCTTTTTCATAAGTATTTATTTTGTGATCCCTCGTTGTTCATTGTTTCCGCTTCCTTGTAGAGTGATGACAATGCCCAGACAGAAATCAGTTTGTTGAACCCGTGCACACTGTAACTGAACAAGTGTTGAAGCCTCGGTCGTGACTGTAGATCATGAAATGGAATGGATGAAAACAATGCTACAGTGGGCATTTGTCATTATGTTGAAGAAGAACGGTGCACAATTTACACAAGTCAAAACCAGAATCAAGTACTGAAGGGCAGTTTCTAAAGGGTACATGCACTTCAGAATCTAGTTTACCGGTACATGTATCTCTTTTGTATTTTTTCACTGAAAAATTTAACATGCTTGGAGGTGCTCTGGGGAATTATTTTGGAGGTTGTTAATTAAAAAAAAATATGTCAAGTATTAAGAATAGCCACTTACATGTACTGTATGATACATTTATGTGCTGATATATGTACAACACTGTCACTTGTTTTTTTTTAATATGTGCTTAATCATAAATTTAACTTTTCTTCAGGAATTCTATGCCTGAGACATACACCAGCAAAAATAAAAAACAATGGTCATGAATTTCTTCAGGCACACATCAGAAAAATCAAAAGTTTCAAGATACTGTAGAAGGGATTGATGTTCTCAATGGCTGAATCCTTCAGGACATGCATAATGCAGCGCTAAAGCAAAACCATGGAACTGTGTACTGAAGAATGCCAAGCTCTAACATTTTGGTTGCTGTCCTTAATGGGACAACTTCAAGATAAGTGGAACAAGCAGGTGGAGGTGAAATTGGAAAATGTTCTCTCAGGAGGATCTTCTTTTCAGAATTATTTCATGCTTATGTGAGCTACATGTACAGTGTACTTGTAGTTGTACATGTATATTTATGAAACATTGTAATTCACCCGAGTAATCAAAACCTGAAAAAAACCTGAAAAATACTTTTGGAATTGATTTGCTTCTCCAAGCTGTTAATTTTTTTCTTGGAAGGTTTCGTATCCAGTATTTTAATTTGTGTACATGGAGTTGGACTGCCAGCAACATTTTCAGAGAAAGTCTCCGTTGTCATGATTCCATTTTGTTCCATGTACCGTTTTTCCATGATCCATTTCTAATCTGGAACATTGCAGTTTCTTCAACGCGTTCCTAGCCTTTTCTATCAACTCCCCGAGTTACAGTGGACATGTATCTTTCATTTAACATGAAAACTGACTCTTCTTTTTTGCATTACACACTGTGTGCTGGAGGATGAAGTATTGTGGTGTATATGCCTGTGCTTTGTACGTGTACATGTACCGGTACATGTGTGGGTTGTGTCTGTGTGGGCCAGCCGACGTAAGAGTTGGGTTCCTCGGGGGGAAATGAAACTATCAGGATGTCAAGCCCTGTGAGGCGTAGTCATCGATTCAGCCCATTTGCATGTACCTTTCAGTGATGGTTGGGTAGCGGTTTTACAGTATCCCCAGTGCAGGAAAAATGGTGACCCTGCTGTGAGTGATGCCCTACTTTCCTGTCAGTAACCATGTGTGATGCGATATCAATAGGTAAACTTGTTTCTTCGTCGCCAGGAAGTATACATCCTCCAACAAGAGTGTAAATATAACAGTGATGGTCAGAACTTTAACAAATGACCTCTTTTGGGGGGAAAGATGCATTGTACCAGTCGCTGGATTTCAAAATATCATTGTCTGTTCAGAAATTCAGTTTGAGAACAAGTTTTATAGATCAGCTTTATTTGGGTCCTGATTGGCTGCGATGCTCTAAAACGGGCCACCAATTTATACCATATTTCTTTACATTTTTCTGACTGCAATGTGATCTCCTATTCAGTACCACATGGATAAATACCAGTACTGCATCTTAATTGTCAGGAAAGTGAACCATGTTATGAGAACTTTTCGAGTGTCCAGAAAGTTTTTTGGTCCCCATGGCACAGTGGTTTAAGACCCAGACATTCGGTCTGATTTTAGTTTTTTAATTTTCAACAAAAACCGCTTCATTGGAATCTGAAAATCAAGTTTTAAGTATAAAAAACGTTATTTTGAAATTTCGTGTTCCGTTTCTGAGATATGAGTTTTAATAAATAAGGTAACGTGAGTAGAAAATAAAAAAGATTCACATTTTGTTTCAAAATTATATATCTGCCGAGGCAAATAAAACTTCGTTTAAAAAGCAGCACAGTATGCGAGCAGAGAGAAAAGGGTAAACACTATTTCAGCCAACCAGACTTGTTTTCTCAGGGGAAGCCAGATGCACAGGTACTTTCATCTTGGACTGATTTTTGTCAGGTCAAAAAACCTCTCAAACAGACAACAGGTCATTGAACTGTCATTGTGATGTAGAGCAGACATTAAATGGCTTCATCGTTACTTAGTATAGCTTCATTTCCCTGAACTTTTCCCACCTTTAACCAACTCACTGGTAGCCATCCGACTCCTTATAAGAACCCGTCAATTTGCAAAGCTACATATTTCACATTTTTCTGTCTTCAATGGCCAGGAAGATAGAACTCAAACGATGAGATCTGGAATAAATACCTAAAGACAGGATGGATCGGGCGCTACAAGAGGCCAGACTATAACCTTAGCTGGAGAAATTATAGCAGACTACAGCCTGAGGGAAAGTTCACAGAACTGTACATTTCCAAGCAACTAAAGCAGGGAGAAATGTATCAAACTGAACAAATCACTGCCTCCTTAGCATTCAAGAATTTTTCTTTGATGAATCATTTCTAATTTTTGAGAAAGAGCCATTTCCAAAACAAATGACACATCATCAATTACTGTTGCGGAGGCTTGTCCAAAAAGCTGATGCTGATGTTCACATTCGTCCGAGAGTTAATCCCGTACATGTACATGTAGCTGAAGTGGGACCTGGCAAACGGACACGATATTAGATGAGTTGCGAGTAGAAGCCGTGGAAAATTGAGTATCCCAATCTCAGTTACTTTGTTTTATATGACATAAAGAGAAAAATTGTTGATGTTGGCTTGAGGCTATTTAGAGATGATTTCCACAATGGAAATAGGTTAATTTAACTTTTTTGCATTATCCCTACTGTTTCCACTTTTGGGAATCTTTGAGTTTGCTTTTCTTTAATATATTTTTTGTAATCATATTTTGCGGAATTAGTGAATAAATCAAATCAAATCAAGCCATTTAATTACTTCCTTTGATAAGGCAAAAGGAACTCCAGCAGGTATTCCATTTATTTCATGAAGACGTGATTAGAAAACGGTAAACTCAACCATTTATTTCAGAATTTGACTGGCTTTTAAATTGGGGTACTAAACCGGCATACATAAAATACATAAAATTAAAAAGCACCCATAAAAAATGCTTGTACAAATCACTGAAACCTTCGTTTAATCTTTATTTAACCCCAAATCAAAACAAACATTGTTTTTAATACCGCCTCAGTACAGCAGAAGGAACAGTGCAAACATTTATGCATACACAGCTGAAGAGGGCACTATGCATAAGTAGCGCCCTCTTTCAGATTTTGCTCCGGTTTTCGACCATTTCGGTGAATTCCTCTTTCTGTGTTCAGAGTTGATGTTCAAACACATTTGATATAGTTTTTAGGAAATTGGACCCTTTATTGTCCCAATACCTACTGATGTCTGGCTCAAATATGGTTTTTAAACCACTGTGCATGGTGTATTGTTTATCTGATCTCGATGGTCCACTCACCCACAGAGCTACTGTAGTACAGTCCACCTCGGTTGTCCAGTGATGGAGTATACATATATTTTAAATTTGGTGGAATGGGCGTCGCCAGGACTTCTTTTTGGGGGGAGAGGGTTTGGCACTCAGTAGCAGCAGACTTACGGTACAAACCATGAACCGTCCCATGCAAAGATGCATTCTTGACGAAGTTGTCGTATTGGTCAGTATCAATCAAATGACCCTTATGAGTCCGTGTACAGTGGCAAACCAAGTGGGAGTAATGTTTGACTGTCTGTGACTGTTACAGCAAAAGGAGGGTTGAACCGAAGTATTCTCAAGCAAAGTGGTGATCCTTAAGCCTCTTTCTCCTCGGCTTTTTCATTTTGTTCCTTTTTTCTCTATTTGTTGTTTTATGTTCCCTACCACCCTTGTTTTGTAGGACTTCTCAAAAGCATCCATGCTGAGTACATGTACACGTGGAAAGTTTCAGCTGGTCAATTTAAAAAGGGTTTGTAATTGTTAATTTTAACTGCCCAGTATCCGTCAAACTCTAACAGCAGGTTTTGCTACTCGTAGGTTTTGGTACCATACCCAATTAACTTCTTGTTGAATTTTGTTGCACTTGGTATCAAAGGCCCAGGGTGATGGTGTTGGATTTTGTGTTAAGTTAGAACACACAGGGATCATTGTGTGCAGTGTTTGGCTTGCTGTACCAAGTGTTGGACTACGTGTATGCTTGATTTTGTCAGGTTTGGTACAGCTTTAGTGCAGGGTGTCCTAAACTGCATAGACCAATCCATACCATGTCACTCAAACTCCAACGGAGCACTTTGTTGGAGTTTATCAGGTTTGGTACCGGTATATGCACAAGTACATGTACATGTAGGCAAGTATCCACCAGTAGCTGTTGAAGTTTATTGGGTTCAGTATGCTCCCTAGTGCAAGAGCTTAGGGGTTATGGTTCAAGTATTCTTACATACAGTACTGGTATATAAGGATTGTAATTATAAGTAATGTATTATACGGTAGTTTCCAGATGAGCACTTGTACCAGTGCTGCAGAAGTATTCAATCAACTAAGGTTAGCATGCAGTGTGTCATACCAGCCATGCAGAAGTGTGACTTTTAGGAAGGGACACCCACATTCCCAAATTGGTGAATGTGGGTCATTTGGCGGCTGCCCGAGGCACCTTTCTATGCCGTCGGCTCAACCATGTTTAAATGTATTCATTGTTCCACGCTTAATGTCTTCATTGTACAGCGCTTTTGAACATATGTATATGAAACTTGAGGTGGAAGATCATGTATGCTTATTGGACACACTTCTCTTGGACTCCCCAGATTTGAGTGCCTACAGAAAAAATTTGCGCTTTATAAATGAATAAATTAATTAATTAATTCCCCAACAGCTACTAGTACGAGCAGTGGAAGGAAATTCAGCCCCAAAATATATGAGGCTTGGTGGGAAATGCAGGGTTTGCTCAAGTTCTGAACACAGGGAAATATAAAAATATCAGAAGTTCATGTACATCTTGTAATATCCGATTACTTGTGATGTGTGTTGATCGGGGAGAGGAAGTGCCAGCAGGGAAAGTGAAAGTGGTGAAAAAAAGTGACTCGGTTGAAGTATCCTGATGGACAGCTTTATCTGTAAAGGCAAATCATCAAACAAAAGAAACTTCCTCTAAAGTTATACTTTTTTACTTATTCCTCATTTTCAAACCCAAAAGGAAATGTCATGAGGGGAAATGATTTGCAAAATGTGGTGAAATATTTTCTGTTTAAAGTAATGATCTCCACCTTGCATTTTACTGGATTCGAACCATAACCCGTCCAAACTCCAGTCCTTCTGTTAGCAACAGAGCCCCCCCTTTTGCATGTCCCCCTTGCAAATGAGCAGCAAAGGGGACTGTACAGCATCACAGCCTCCAAATTAAAACAAGAGAAGGTCCCCATAGAAATACATGTAAACACAACTTGTGCTGCAGAAAATAATCTCTTCTGAAATAGTCAGAGAATCGGTCCAAAGAGTAAGGTGGAAGATCATGTACATGTATGCTCATTGGACACACTTCTCTGGGACTCCCCAGATTTGATTGCCTACAGCTACATGTACATGTACCAAGGTAAAATGATGGACATGTTTTGTGCTTTGTAAATGGCCATTATTAATTCATTATTGATAAAAATGTGCTGCCTTTATGGACAACAGGTTATTAGGATTACTATATGTAGGTATCTGTGTCATATATTCCAACACGTACGTACTTGTATTTCAAAGATTCAAGGAAGCCATTTTTTGTCTTTGTTTCCTTTTGTAGTGGTGCCTAATGTTCTCATTAATTTGGAATCCGGAAGACTTTTGTGCTAGTAATGCCCCAGTGGAAAAAAAGATGACTGTAAAAACAACGAAATTTGGAAACTGCTTTTTTCAGAGATGATGAGAAGGGGATGTGGTCAACATTGTGGTTGAAGCAAATTGTCCGTGATATTGATATTAAAATGCTCTATACACCTTCCACTTTCATGTTATAGGAATCTGCAATCCAGCATTGATCAGTGTAACATTTACATGTACATGTACATGAAAGTGAGGTTTGTGCATTTAAGTGTGTTTTCAGAAATACCGGTAGAAGACTCCAAACATCTGTGAAATTTAGGACCCAATTTCATTGCTCTTTATAACGGTTAGTGCAAAAGTAGTGCTGGAAATAATGCTGTATTTAAGCACTTTTTCACCACTTAGGTGTGGAAATGCTTTCACTCACTTTAGATATTTGTTACGTTACCAATTTAAATAACCTTTTCCTTCAGGTTAAGCATGCTCTGCTTTAGAGTCTTTGTGAAACGGAGCTTTATGAACCCAAATTCAGCCATTGAGCAGCCCTATAAAATTTGGCCCTGTTATGCATGATAACTGACGCTTTTTGTGTTTGATTTCTGTTGGCTTTGTCCATTTAGGTTACCTTAGTAAGTGCAGAGAGATTGTGCCGTTACATCCCAGCTATGGCACTCCCCCGAGAGCTCGGCGGTAGCGCTGAGGTCAAGCATTTGGACTGGCTTAACTCCTGCCTGAACCAGCAGACTGGCGACAACAACCGCAACTCCCAGGACCTGAGCGACGAATTTGCCGACAGCCTGGATGCTTTGGAGGCAAACCGCAAGGCCCTGGAACTTTTTGGTGCAATCCCGTCTGCTGGCAGCAAAGCACTGCCACAACCCTATGTGAACCACGTGCAGGCTGTGCAGCGGGAGCGGACGTCCAGCCTGGGCTCTGACGCTGGCCATGGGCTGGTGGCTGTACCTAGCCAGACGGGCAGCGCAGGCAACTCCATACCCTCCAGCCCCGCGCAGCCACGCCACCGCAACCTGGCCCAGGAGATCAATGATCACGTGGACAGGCTGGATGCACTGGACAAGAACGACATCCCGGACTGCACCGCGGTGCTGGGCAGGACTGACCACCACCCCCACCCCCAGATCGTCCAGGGGTGCATGGTGAGCGATGATGACGACGAAGAGAAGGGCCAACAGGAGACCAAGGAAAAGCATGAAACTGAACCAGTGCGTGAAGCCATCAGCAACCACATCAACCAGACCAACCACAGTAACGACGACGATTTGATCGACATGCCCACGGAGCCTCCTCCAAAGCCGCCCCGTCCACAGGAACAAGTCTGTGTTTCCACCCCTACTATGCCAGGAAGGCACGCACTCAAGGAGGAACTGTCTGTGCACCAGCCCACTGACACAGGCATGGACTTAGATGGACTGGTAGAGTACGTACTTCAGACCAAACAAAGTGGGATATACAAGGAATATGCAATGATCCGGGCTGAACCTCCTGTAGGACTTTTCAACGTCTCAAAGTAAGTCCACAGTTGACTGTGATCATGTCTAAGCTCATTATTCATGTACTGGTACATGAACGGCACTCTGGCTCAGCAACACTGCATTGAGCATTGTGCATTGTACCTGTACCGTATGCAAAGCCCCATAAGAGGCTGTACAGTCCTTAAGCACTGCATTAGTGAGTACGAAAGGTTTTGAATACCAGAAACACATGTGAATATTTCCAGCCAATAATCCATATGATGTAAGATTGGGGCGGGGAGAACTCTCCCACCTTTGTTTTGGTCATTGTTTGATTCTTTACAGACTTCTAGGGAGGATGTGTTAGGTAACAATAGTGTAGACTGTGTATAGGGATTGGACATGTTGGGGGGTACCCATCTGTCCCATATTGTGCATGGTATCCAACAACCCAAAAGTTTTTCTACCTCTGACAACCCACAATTCACCTGAATCTTCATATACATGTATGCACTGTACATGTACATGCAGAAAAGCTCATGGTGATTGTATATACGTACGATTCAGTATCATTATTGGGGTTTGGTGTGCAGTTTGCATGTCGGTGAACAGATGGGAGCTGTAAGCATGAAACATTGTTTTGGACTTGGGTAGATTTGACAAGGTTCCAAGCAACACTCCAGGTGTTTTACTGCCCCTCAGCTTGTTTGCTGGGAGAAAAACAAGTCATGGTCAGAATTTTGAGCGGAACCTCGTGTACACGTACATGTACTTATAGAGTGGTTCATTTTACATGTCATGTAGGAAATGGAATTCTGCCAAATCAAGTTAAACTTGCTTTCAAAATCGCAACTTGAGGTACATGTACCTGTACATGTATATATACTGTACCTGTAATACAGTTTACAGCACGAGACACATCGCCCCAATGTCTGATCACTCAACATTTCATCTTGACATTTTCACCTGTGCATTGATATCTGCTGCCCACAGGCACAAGTTTAACTTGCCAAAGAATAGATACGCCGATGTCCTGTGCTACGATCAGTCTCGGGTCAAGTTAAAGCTAACCAATGGGGACCCATACTCGGACTACATCAACGCTAACACCATGGATGGCTACATGCAGAAGAATGCATTCATAGCTGCTCAAGGTGAGTATGAACCAGAGCTGTGGCCAGTCCTAGGATACTTTAGATCTGGCACCAATTAAACGGTGGAGAGCTGGTTTCCTTTTTTTCTTGGGGAAGGCGTAGAACTCAAAATCCTTTTTAAGATTCTTGAGACAAATGTTCTGAAAGAAGGGCATAATTTCATTTATCTGTTTCTGATTAAATTATTCCATATGCTAAAGCCTCCAAAGTAACTTCCAGTTTGGTTTCTTCCATGGAGCATACCTGTAGCACAGCAGCACAACTTGGTGCACCATGTAAGGGCATCCAACAGTGGAAAAAATGCTTTGTGTCTGACTCAAAATTTCAAGTATGGTACATGTAGCTATCCTTTTGTGGGCACTTGAATATGGAACATGTTAAGGGGCATGCAGTGTTGGCTGGTAGTGTTGCTATGGTTGTAGTTTTTTGCAGGGGAAGACTTTGTACTTGTATGCTTAATTCCCACGTAGGCAAAACCAGTTGGCAATTATCTCGCTCCAACAGATTACATGTACCTCCTCAGCATACGGGAAACATTATTAACCACCAGATTTTTGACAAGATAGAGCAGCAATGTTGGCATCAAAGTGTTGCTGGAATACATGCAGCAGCTTATGAACCTGTCATGATTGGCAGAAATATTCATTAAATCAAGTGACTGCATTAATTAACCCTAGAAGTCCCCAATTCCTCAACAGGTGACGCACTGAGGACTGTTAGGTTGAATCAGATAACCACCGGTACTCGGTACATGTGTACATTTGTGCTTTTGGAACCATTTAAGAGTCAGGTAGCGGCACAGCAATGCTGTAAAATTTCTCAGATGCATTGTATTCATTTCCAAAACGTCAGACTGGCAAACAGGAAAGTACCCGTCACCAAAGCAAATCATGTCAACACACGTTCATGGTTCATTTTCTTTGAAACAAATTTACGTGGGGAAAGACCATAAATTCTGCATGGCAAACCCGATAACCCATTAGGTCAATTTCTGGTGACTTTGGCCTAGTTACCCAGATGGTACTTAGATTAAAGCGTAATTGTTGAAACTGAGCCAACTTTTTTCCAGAAATGTGTCATAGCCACCGATATTTTAGTCACATAACCCCGGCAATTTTGAAAGAAGTCTGTCATCGTATTATAAACGTAATCTAGTGACCCCATTGCTATATCCCAATACAATCTGTGTGCTGTGCAGGTCCCCTTCCGAGAACGTTTGGCGACTTCTGGCGCATGATCTGGGAGCAGAGCGTGCTGGTGGTGGTCATGACGACGCGTACAGTGGAACGGGGCCGGCTGAAATGCGGCCAGTACTGGCCCGGGGAGGTGGGTTCGTCAGAGAACTACAGCTTTATTGCCGTCAAGAACCTAGAGATGGAGAGGCGGCGAGACTACACCATCACCGTCTTCAGTGTGCAGAACATGCAGGTGGGTGGTTCGAAAAACACATGTACGTGCATGCACTGCATCAACGGATCGCTGTCTGGTTGTCAGTACTGCTGAACCATATCCTTTGTACCTGTACATGGCTTTTGTTGTCGTGGGGTAAAGATCAGACTGTCTCTGTGGTTTACGAACCTGTGGGTCAAAGAAAGGTTTCACAGCAGAAACAGTAATGGCAACGTAGGAGGTGTACTGATTTCACTTTGTGTAAAGGGCATTGGGTTTTTCTCAGAGGGCACTGCAACTAATGCTTTAACCCTAACAGTCCTCAATGCATCACCTGTTGGAGGACTGGTAGGGTTAAGGTAGTAGCCGCTCATGGCCACTGTTACGATCGGGTGCCTGCGGTGTTGTGTGCTTCATTCTTGCTCAAATATAAATCGGTAAATTGGGATTCCTTTTGCAGACTGGAGAAACAAGACGAGTCACCCACATGCAGTTCACCAGCTGGCCGGACTTTGGGACACCACGCTCTGCCCAGGCCATGCTGGAGTTCAGGGAGGAGGTGCGCAGGTACCAGGCCAAGGCCGTGGAAGAGCTTGGGTCGGTCTGGACCAGCCACCCACTGGGCCCGCCCATCCTTGTCCACTGCAGTGCAGGCATCGGACGCACAGGTAATGTACCTCTTGTGCTGTGACAAAAGCAGTCACTTTATACTTTATACTTTAAAATGGCACTTCATGTGACTTCCACACTTGCAGAATTTGGCTCACTTTCAGGTATGAGATCAGAGATATGAAAAACAGTGTTTTAGATGTTAATTGGTTCTTCTCAGAACCTCTAACCTCCCACTCCAAGGTGGTACTTGAAATGTATCACTTAAAGCCATATTTAGCTACATAAGAACCTCATCTGTTGGGGAGAAAACAACACATTTATTCGGCCTTTGTTTTGAACTGGCAGGCACTTTCTGCACGCTGGACATCAGTCTGTCCAGGCTGGAAGATGTCCACACAGTGGACATTTGCAACACGGTGCGTCGCATGCGGGCCCAGCGGGCCTTCAGCATCCAGACGCCCGACCAGTACGAGTTCTGCTACTTTGCCATCATCGAGTACGCCCAGCGAGCAGGCAAGCTGGCCCCCATCGACTTCTCCGGCTATGATGACAGCGAGAGCGACAGTGACTGATGCTTGCAAGTTGCTTTTGCCAGGGTCAGAAGAGAAAGGAGTCTTAAAGTCTCGTTGAAGGTTTGATTTTGCCTGTGTTTTGCGTTTGCTGTCCTTGATTATATCCTGTAACTTTGCAGGGGCTGAATTTTATCAATTCCAAAAAAAATGCTTGTCTAAAGCTTGTTTTTCATGTTGGGCATTTAACGACGACAGAATCAATTTTAGAGGACAAATAAACTTGAGACTTTGGACTAATAACAATACTTTTTAAGTTAAATTTTGGGACAGAAGGACTCCAAAAGAACCAAGTGAGTACTTTTCTGAAACCTTTTGTTCCAAAAACTTGGTGTGAAATTTTGGTTGAGACCCCTCCAAGGTCAGGAATCTTGTTGGTATTTACTGTCCAGTGTCTATCCATGTAGTATAGTATCATCTGCACCAAACTGTGCATCTTGCAATAAACCTGGTTCTTTGAAAGTACATCTCTGGGAATGACAATAAATGTATACTTAGGAAGCTTCTACATGTATATGCATCTGTGCGTTGTAACATGCACTTACATGTAAGCAGTGATGGATCGGTTGATCCCACTAATAATTTATGGAGTTCGTACAAGTGGCTTGTCATAAAAGTTTGGCAGTGCACTCAATGAGTTAATAGTCTCCCTTCGTGGCATGTCTGAGGGAAGTACGGTATAAGATAGATGGGTAATGTCTAGACAACTGTCACTGCAAGCACAGAAATAAATCGACTCCAGTTCTAAAATATATATACATGTAGATCGAAAAAAAAAAAGAATAGCCCTTGTTGGAGGGAAATGCAATATACTGGCATTCTTTTTCATCTCTCTTTTTTTTTCTGTAAATACTATACAAACCTGCTGAATAATTCCATAGACAAGAGAAAATCTTTGTGTCTTCTTCTGTGATTGTTTTGTAAAAGATGTAAAATAATTGTAATTGGTGGCATTGTAGTTTTTTCGAGAATCATGATGAGAAAGCCCCCTTTTTAAAAATGTGGTGGTCCAACTTTCACAACTGTATTGTACATGTGATATGCTCGGTATTGAACTCAAAAGTATTGTAACAGGATTTTAACTGACTGCTATTACTTGTATATATTAAATACTGTGTTAGCCAATACACCTCAAGTTAAATTTATTTAAATAAAACAGTGGTGTTATTGAATCATCGTGAAAACTCACTTGAAACTCATTCGAGGGAAGAGCGTCCAAGTTGCAAATGCCATACCTCAGAAGGCTTTTGTGTTTTCTTTTCTATGCAAGTACAGGCATGCGATGTATAAATGATATCACGTTTATTTATTTTCAGTTGTAATTTATTAGTTATTTAAGACTTTAAGACTCGGTTTGTTTTGCCTGCAACAAAGTACTGTTTTTCTTTATGATTACGGCTTTGAAAAGTTGAGTACACTAAAGGTGCAGTAGTTGATAGGTGGAGGCGAAAAGTACACGAGGCCAGGTACTTGTGCATGTGCTTGTAACTTGTTAGGTTAAGGGGGGGGGCAATTATTGCCAACATTTCTTGGCATGGTTTTGTCATGCCTTACATCTTAATCACCCTACTGTTGGTAAACCAGTTAAAAAAAAGAGGCTCTTCTCTCTATTTCTCACATCAGGTTGTGGGAATTTTGTAAGGTTTGTACCGCCGCACAGTTGCGCAGCAAGCAGCAACGGCAGAATATACATGTACATGTACTGTATATTGAAAAATCATGTTCCAGAAAATTGAACAGTAGTATTGTATACATTCCAGTGGACAGTGTCATTTTGAGTATCTGTAGTAATTTGTGATATGCCGTTTACACCACTAAAATGATAAAACAAAGCATCAAGTTTTGAGAAAAATCAAATTGGTTTTGTTTTTAATACAGGTGCAGTTAATTATGTTCAGGAATCAGGGAAATATGATTGCACAAAATTGCAAAAAAATTCAACCAGTTTCAGAAATTATATCTCACTAATTTCTATAGCTGGCTGAAAATGGTTTGAGCCTCAAACTATTGTCTGGTCATCTTTGATTTTTTAAAATTACATTACACTTAACCTCACCCTTTATACACAATTACACAGCAGTGGTAACAAAAGAATTTCGAAAATATCTTTACTCTCTCTAAAAGGCTGTGATAGTTTTCTGAAACAAAAGTTATGACAGGTGTCTCTTGGTGCTTGCAGTGTTATACATGTACATGAATGTTGAGTCTGTATAAATAGAGGATTAGCGGAAATGGGGTTTTTACTATGTAGTACATCAGTTTGATTAACGTTAGAGCCATTGGTGGGATGGGTTGATGACTTCAAGATGGGACAGAGAAAAAGTGTGGAGGCATTGTCATGTCAGTTTCTTGTTACTAGACAGATTGGCAAGCTAAATGATGTGCAAACTGGTCAAATCAAACATGTTTCCATAAAACTGTATTATGTTGTGACTGTTGACCCTTGCTTGATTTTGATTTGTATGGTTTTGTTTGTTTCTTTGGTCACGTCTTTAAGATGTGTACAAGTTCTGGGCACATTTTCTTTTTACCCTGCAGATTTGCATAGCAGCTCCATAAAATTTGGACCAAGCACTTTTAGTTTTGAAATGCGAGCGCTTTGTCCAAGGGTGAAGTCAGCATACGTAAACTTGTGGGCGACGGGTGTCAACTGCATGTACATGTATTGGTCTTTTCGGCAAAAATTTTAAATGACGCAGTAGGCGTTTGTTTTGATGACATCACACTTTGTTTACATGTACAGTTATTATGGTCCACTGAGCACCGTAGGAAAACACCCCGGTAAACAAAGTGTGGCGTCATTAGTACGGAGGTCTGTTGCAAATGCAGTATGCATGATTTTGGTGCTGAAGTTAATTTACATATTAAAGTCACAAATACTGGGATTCCTTGGTAATGCCAAACTGTTATGCTTTTGCTAAAGGGGCATTGCTGTCTGTCTTACGGCATCACTTCATTAAAATGGATTTGCGCAGTTTATTAATTTGTGTACATTATAGTAAATGGGGAGGAAAGCAGATGAACAGGGTTGGCATTATAGAGGCAGTCTTAGTTGGTGACAGCTCACTGATATGGTTTTAGCTAGGCTTGAAGTCGAGGCCAGACACAGGTCCAGACACAAGTCAAGACTCGCGTGCAGGCGTGGCATACATAGTGTGGACCTCTGCACAAAAGAAGTCCACATTTTGTAGGGTGTGATGGCATTGTGTGGACTTGCACACATCCACACGTTTTCCCCTCTCTCTGAAAAACAGCTTCAGAGGCATCTGGGGGTCAGGGTCATCTGTGGAAAAATGAAGAGAAACAGTCCAAGAAATCCTCAAAAATTCAGCTCTTGGAGTGGAGTTAGTGGGAGGAAAAGGGACATGTTGCCCGAGTTTTCTTAACCACGGGAGAACAGAGGAATGTCCCTACTATGTACTGTATGTGAAACAAGTATGGGTGACCAATCTGAAGAGTGACAATGGAATGCTGCTGTTGCTGTTCATTTGAATAGCCTGTGATGTGAAATAAGACCAGAGGCCTCGTGGAGGTCTTGTATGGTCGTTTGGTGATCCTGTGGGGTTCTGTGATAGTCTTATTGGTCTTGATGACAAAAACTGACGTGCATCATTCAACTCTGTAGCGCAGATCCTTCAGGTGGTCTTTTATTTGTAGCATAAATGTGTAACTGTTTTTCTTATCAGTGAATTTGTATAAATTGGAAATAGGAAAGAATTAGATTTGTACAACTGGAACAAAACATTACCTGTACTGGATTTTTCTTTCTGTGCACTTGCTCACTGTTATTGAGTCATAGCAATTAAGCTTGGCCGGAATTAGTGTGGTATGTTGTAATGTTCTTTTTAGTTGCCCCTTGGAATAGAGTGATTGCACTGTACATGTATATTAGTTGTGAACCCTCCAACCTTGTGGGTAAGAGAAAAACCTGCATGTCGGTATTGTTTGAAAAGTTTGAGTCGTAACCTTTACTATGTTTGATATCAATTTATCTTTGCATTTCCCAATCGGCCTGGCTGCACATACCGTGTGAAACAGTGTGTATGAAGCATATTTTAAAGTGAAGTGCGTAGGGTAATACAGGAATATTTAATCAAATAGTTACAAATTTTTAATATATACACATCTACAGCATTTTGTCTTAGAGGGCTCTGTATCTATGTACAGCGTATGCACCATTTAATGCTAACATTAAATATTAACGTTATTTATCTATTTTTGTTAAAATGTTTCCTACTGTATCATAATGAGGTATCGGGAAAAGTTATTCACGCTTCGTAATGTTACTTACTGGTGATATTGAAAAACAAATGCAAACAGTCCTCAGAATGAGAGCACAGAATTGATACGTGTATAAAGTGATGTTCCTCACTATAGTCTAATCATGTTTGTGTTTAGAAAGCCGAGTACAAAAATGTCTGCAAGTGGATTAGTGCAAAATGTTTCTTTGTTCAACAGTGCATATATCGGTAACGAGAACAAAAAAATCAGAAGTGAAGTAATGTAAACTGCCTGTAAATTGTCATTAAACTGCACAAGATGTACGTGATTGTCTCTCGATTCTCTGTGTGTGTCTTATTCAGGGATGCAACTGTTGGGGAAGGGGGGGGACATGCCATGCCCCCTTTATTCACATTCTATGTACATATACAAGCCAAAATTGATTTGCTTTTAGTGCCCCCTTGAAAAAAAGTGTGCACCCCTGGGTACCCCCTTGTGTCACTGTTTCTAATGATGGTAGTAACAAATAAAAGCATAAGAGAGAGGTAATGGCATTGTTCTGACTGGTGGTCCGCTGAATCGTGCTCTAGTGTTTTTTCCAAGCAGAATGATCACTGTGACTGCCCTGACTAAAGGCTTGGCTGGAACCTTAACAAAAGTAAGGAACCCGACAGAACAAAAAACAAATGAACATGCCAACTTTATACGGCCATCTTTATTTAACACGGAGCTTTTTTGACATTTGAATGCAGCAACAAGAAACCGAAGGGTTTAACTCATCTATCCTGCTTCTGGCGGTGACCCTTGTATAATGCACAGTTGATTACTTTTATCCAACCGTTTAAATAGTTGCACATAAAAAAGAATTTAATACTTATCTGCCTGAGTAGTTATTAAGTACTTCTATCTAAAGTTTGCACATCTACATGTATAACACACACAAAACTCTACTACAAGCACTGTAAATAAACCTTTTTAAAAATGAATCTTCATTAAAAGTCTGAAAAAGTACGAACTTATCACACAAGAACCAACAGGACCTTTGTAATGTATAATTTGAGAGTCTCAACACACGGGTTGTCCTATAATACAACCCCTAAATGCTAAAATTTGTTAATTTTTATCATGAAAATAACTTAAACATGTATACGGGTTAGGGTTTTTAATAATCATCTTTCCCTAGCTTTCTCAAAAACTTTAGATTATGAATGCTGGGTCAAGCACACTTAAAGATACACCTGACCTAAGAGGTGGTGTTTTCATGCATGGGCAAGGTGAAAAAAAAAGACCATAAAGTACGACCCTACCTTAAAAGTGACCTTTCTTTAAATATCCACCAATCCTAAATAATCAGCAAAGACACATACCACAGTGACAGATCAAGAAGAAAAAAAGTTGAAGTTATTTTTATAGACATGAAAATAAAATCTGGGCATTTGGGGTTATAATAATCCTGGGGAAACCTGTAGATGTCATTATTTGAGTTAACTTAAAGTTCTGAGTTGTACAATTAATCACGACACTTCTATAACTAAATAACTTCAGTTACATGTGAAATAAATTCACAACTTTATTGATAAGCTTTAAATAATAAAACTCGACAACAATAAACTATAGAAATGGCATGATTAAAAATGCACTTTTTTAGCCCAGCACAACTTAATGTTCTAGACCAGAACTTCTTTGAAAAAACCTGAAAGCCACACAGAAGAAGAAACATCCGACAAAAACAATAAATGAACCCTGTAAATGCAAATTTGGCAGCCTGGTAATTTCTGACTGACGTTGCCTTTATGCTCCTTTTTTTACCGACAGCCCTTTTAAACAGGACTGCATGTCACCGTCACTTGTGAAATCTTGATGACTTCATTTAATTCTAAAGGCTACACGTAGTTCATTTAAAAAATAAATAGCTCCTAACCACTTGAACTATTGCTTGCACATTCTTTAAAAGATGCTGTTAACTTCGTCATAAATAGGTAAAAATACGGAATCACAATTTCACAATTATTAAGATGTTAAATTTCCCCCACATTTTTTGCATTAGATCAGGTGGGAATATGTAGGTGTGTAGGAGGTCAGCCAATAAAAATATATTTCAGTTATTTTAAAGCTGAAGTGGCCATCAGTTGTCTTACAAGTGAGATGCTGTACTTACATGTGTACTTACCTTATGATACCATGATGTACATAATTTGTTCTCACGGTACAATGATGTATACCTGATGGGCACGTACACCTGTACTTGTTCTCAAGTTTTGAAAATGAAGAACTACTGAGTGTCTCTGAAAAGACTACAACAGAATCTGAAAACGTTTCAGCGAGTGAAACTAAAAGTAAAACCATGCTTCTAATCAAACTGCGTTTTAACCTTGCACAGTCAAAAAATGCACCTGCCACTGCAGTGGGCCCCATTTTGTGCAGTTACATAGACACACAAATTTGCTTAGCAGAAATGGGTTATCAGCTTCAAAAGCAACGAGGTGAACATTGCCTGTGCCTGGCTTTCCGATAAGCTAAGCTAAGCTAAGCTAAGCTAAGCTAAGCTAAGCTAAGCTGTTTTCTCTGTGGCTCTGGAAAACTGGGCCCTGGTGACTTGATACCATTTTGCTAGAAGCCCCACATTTTTTAATCTCTACAGCCATCTGATAATTACGATTTAAAAATACTGTTGTCCCCCTAAAACCAGAAATCTTAAAAAATTGTGCCCAACTGCAGATACCAACAAGTGACATTATACAAGTAATGAATGTTTGAATGCAATAGTAAGAATAGTCCATGAGGTAATGTTCAATCTATCACCAACTAAAATTCATGCAGTGGAAAGTGTGTACTCTTTCCACTGCATGAATGTGAAACGTTGTTATTTAATGTCTGAATAAATCATCTTGGTGTGAAAGGTGCTGTTCTACTGGCTCATTCTGGCTTGTTTTATGTTTTACTGTGTATCATTCTCTCTGTGTGGAAAGCAGTGACTGTACCGCCCGCCCTTCTGTTGCCTGTGTTGTTCAATGTTCCTTGTTTGAAGAGCACTGACTATTCCTACCATACTCATGCGTATGCAATACATCGCTCTGTTAAACAGTTAACGTCAAATGGTCAGCGTTTAACATCATGTGATTGACTGCCCATTGATCAGGTGATGGGGATTTTAAAAAATACACATCAGTAAATGTGACATATGACTTGCACTTGCAGATTAGATACATTTAACATGTCAAAGTGTACAGGCAAGCTGACTTACATTGTCAGCATCATCCTATGCCCAAGTGGAATGCATACATGTAGGTGTCACGGATTCTGGCCAGAACGTATCAACCACCCACCATCAAGGAAATGAGTCCACTTAGCTCGGTTTCTTCAAGTCCCATGATTAGATCCCGGTCCAAATCTTTTCCTTTATGCACATGGAAAGCAGACATTTGCTTTTTAATTAATGTAAATCAGTTTGTAGGAGTGTGTTCATTTTGTTCAGAAATTACTTAGTGGCAATACTGTACCAATCACACATACACAGATTTACTTTTCGCCTCTGACATCAGCTTCGCTACAGCCCTGGACCTTTTCAAATTACACACCTGATTGCACTAAGCACGCAGGCTGTCTGCATGCCACAAATGAAAATACTGTTCACGTAATGCACACCTGTTCCAACCATTATTTGCAACTAACTTTCGCACGCATGCACACACACCTTGGCCAGTCATATATTCCCGTTGCAGTTCTCCCCAGGGGATTTAACGGCATCCTCCAATGCTGCCTGCTTGTGGCGGTTCTCCAGCGCCCACTGCATGGCCCAGATAGCCAGGGGACGCATGTAGCCTGAGGAGCGGAAAGCTTGCTTCAGCATGATAGCTTCAGGGGTCTGGAAACCCAGGCCAGCTCGCTCGTAGCAGGTGTGGTAAATACCACTGGCTGTCTGAAAGCCCTCTTTCACCAACCCCTGGGATTTTTTCGGCAGAAAGAAAGGAAAGCTATTTTCATTTCAGGCAAAATTCACCAGTGCTTGCAATAGGAACAGATACATAAAATATTCATTTATGATTCATAAATAACTAAGACAATATGTCATTCCTATTGGTCAAGAGACCATCATGTGGCCAGTCTTAAACAGTTGATAAAGCAATGGCTGATTGTGCGTCACCTCACTCAGTACGTGCCACGCGTGCACCAATGTCCGTATAAGCAGATTGTTTGCGACTGCTGGCAAGAACATACAATAACATGGCTAATGGGTGACTTGAAAAATGAAGTAAAACTGTTGAACACAATCGCTGGAAATTTGTAATTTATAAACTTGCTTTGACTTTCCAACTCACAAGGTATTTACGAATAGGAATAAAGATGTTCTTGGCCGATCTTAAATTAACGTTTAACCACTACCAGCC